ACAAAAACAGTTTCGATAATTATTTACAAAAAGGGACTCACCACCAATTTTGATAATTTTTTAAATATATTCAAGGTCATCACAGTGCATAAATTAACAAATCATTCTCTATTTAATTTCACACGTTTCTATCAAGCTTAAATTTCTATTTCTTTTCCTTTGTTTTATTTTAATTTTGATCGAATTAAAAGTTATAAAGAAATGCATCTCACTCTTTCACTAACAATGTTTTTCTACACGTAAATAGTTAAATGATCCTCCATGTTTTGTGAAAAACGAATTTCACTCTGCAAACACTGAAACCAATGTATAACGCTACTCTACAACGATCTGCACTGTTTGTTGACCAAACGAAATATCAGCAGAAGCAAACAAAAGTTATATGCGAGCCACAAGGATGAATAATTTTCGGATACTGCTAAATACAAATAGTGTTCTGAAAATTACGCATGTACTTGTTCAATGCGTATGTGTGTATTATGAAATAAAAGTCCCATTCTAAAATATAACAAACTCAAATCTATTCCTAACTTGATTGCAATTTAATCAGAAATACAGTGGATGAAACGAATATTGGCACACCTAGTTTATCTTTGTGAAAACTACATGCAAAAGGAAAAACGCTACGTATTGTAAAGAAATGAACTTGTTAATTTGATTGAATTAGATTTTAATAATTTCAGAAGGTTTTTCCTTTGTAACTCTATCATGCATTTAAACAGAATACAAGATGTCTCTGATAGTTTAAAATCAAGCATTTGATTGATTATTTTTTCATAAATGAATTAAGTAACTCTGAAGTTATCTGGTCATTTTATCAAAAAATTTATGTACGTGTATGATATGTGTATTTCTACGTTCTTCGAATTATAAATAACTATAACAATAACTAAATCTAACATTTTCTAAAGTAACAAACAACATCTTAAAACTATATATTATATTACCAATTATACTTTCAATTTCATATTGTACTTTAAATATTTATAGTGTTCGTTTTCTTGCTATGTTATTTTATTTAGTATGGATGAATGTTGCTCATAATTGCATTATTTGATGACAAAAATGTACATCTCTCTACTTCATTTAAAAGTGACAATTTCAATCCAAATTGCATGTATGTCAAACTATCCAGATGGATTTTTTGCAAAGCCAACTATACAATGGGGAACTATATCAACAGATAATATTCAACACAGCTCTTGAGCATTTTTCCAAAACCATCATTAATGCAAACAACATAGCTATCCCAAGAACCAAAATATTAACAACCCTAAAACTAAATGTAACTACAAATGGTGGACTGAACATTGTTAAGGACTGCAAACTTCAATATATACAAGGGACGTAAAACTGCTGACAACCTCATAAATTTTACAAAATACATTTCCCATAAAAATTACAAAAGGACAGCAAGAAACAGGCTCTGAAATCTATACTTCTCAGCTGAGAACAGAAAATCAAAGAAAATTGGAACTTGTGCGTTAACAACAATCAGAAACGAATTTTTTTTAACAAGACAATTGCTTGTTGAAGCCTACCAAGATCAAGTAGTAATCTTAAGAATCATAAATGGACCATACAAGACTCATGTCCTCAACAAAGAATAATCTTCTAATTTGTGATTTG